TCAGGTGCATATATTTTTAACCCCAAAAATTATTAAAATATATAAAAAAATTATTTTAAAATAAAAATAAATATAATTTAAAAAATAAAAAATTAAAAAATTAATTTAAAAAATAATAAAAAATTAAAAAAATATTAATTAAAAAATTAAAAAATAAAAAATATTAATTAAAAAAAAATAAAAAATAAAAAATTAATTTAATAAATTAAAAAATAAAAAAATATTATAAAAAAAATAAACTATACAAATTATAAATAATATTTATATAAATTTATTTGAATCTAATTTGGGTTACATAAACCTAATTTGGGTTTATTTGAACTCAAGGCAAGTTCGAGATAAGTTATTTAAATCCAAACTAAGTTATTTAAACTTAAGATATGTTTATTTGGATTTGTTTTGGGTCAAATAAACCCAAAACAGATTCAAATAGACACAAAACAGGTTTAAATAGACCCAAGATAGATTTAAATAGACTTAATATAAATTTAAATAAACTCAAGATAGATTCAAATTAATTTAAGATAAATTTAAATTGACCAAATAGGTTTATTTGAACCCAAGACAGGTTTATTTAAACTCAAAACAGGTTTGTTTGAACTCAAGATAAGTTTATTTAAACTAAAAATAGGTTCGTTTAAACCCAAGATATATTTATTTGAACTTAAGATGAGTTTATTTAAACCCAAGATAGGTTTAAATAAACTAAAAACAGATTTATTTTTATAGTTGATCTTTAGTATAACTGGGCAACATAGTATTATTATAAGACTATAATATATAAAATAACTATTTAAACTAATTTAACCAAATTTATAAATAGTTAAAAGTAGAGTGAAGATTATAGTTTAGATTAGAATTAGAATTTTATAATTTTATAATATTTCTATATTGTCTAACTATACTAAAGAAGATTTATTTAAACTCAACAAGAGTTCATTTAAACCCAAGACAGGTTTAAATAGATTCAAAATAAGTTTATTTTTTTTTTTTTGTTAAGTGTCTGGAGACTAGAATTTATTGATGTTTTAGATATAGAAGATCACAAGAACTCTTATACAAATTGCATTTACAGTATCAAATTTAATCTAACCAGTCCATACCTAACATATATTTTACTCTAGTACCTTTATATCTAGCACTGCTATCTACTTTATTTATATTTGGTAAACTAATTATCTTATCTAAATGGACGTAGACTGCATATGCCCACCCCAACCCTTCTGTATTCCACACACTTCAGATTAGATATCAGAGATATTACACCTTTAAACCAAAGTTAGTACTTGGGTGTTACCTCTACACATCTCCTGCCCTTATAGAGTTTACATCCACCCCGATGCCCACTTCACTTCCTTTTTAGGTCCTTCTTCCTGGCTTAACATTCAATTCCAGTTAGTTAGCCCAGAACAAGATTGGTTTATCCTTGCTTTATGTGCTCTTGGACTCCAAACTCCTGGTATGTGATTTCATAACACATGTTCTTTTCTTCTGGTGTGACTCCGGTGGCCACCCTGGTTGACTCCTCACCTCTAAAACGTCCAGTCCGAATAATACCCTGGAACCAGTGTCATCCAAGTTCTATTCTGCAGCATCATTAAAAACAAGTCTTTCCAAACAGGTTTTCAGTTATCCCAGCTTCCTAGGATTTATATGGCATTGACTTGCATCTAATAATTACCGGAATGCATTCTTCTGCATAACCTGTATACAGATGCAGGGCCTACGCTTTGCCACTTTGCGATAGCTCACTTCCCATTCGAGAATAGTGTTACTTAAAATTACAGATTGAAGATCCAAGTCATTTTTGATATAGTTATTAACCTTATACAGCCCAGTATTTGAAATCATCATCTGTGGGATTCAAACACTAGACCTGCCGCTTAGTGGGATGACAACTAGACCACTTCACTAAGTTGTCACACCCTTCAAAATAAGTTTAAATAGATCCAAGATATATTTATTTAACTCAAGACAAGTTCATTTGAACCCAAGACAGATTTATTTGAGCTCAAGATAAATTATTTAAATATGTAATAGGTTTATTTAAATCTAATCTAGATTATTTAAACCCATATCTAAAACAAAAAAGAAAATCAAAACCTTATATTTGGGGCAATGTCTGGGTCTTGAGAGCTAATATAACTTAGATCTAAAAAATAAAAAAAAATTAGAATTTCAGACCTAGGACAACACCTGAGTTCTGAGAGCTAGTTAAACAAAGTTATATAATTGTAATTTAAAGTTAAATTATAAACAAAAAAGCTATAAATTTTTTAAATTTAATATATAGCAATTTAAATTTATTACTATTTTTTATTTTAATTTTACAAACTTAAAATGTTTTCTTAATATAATTATTATTATTATTAGTTTTAAACAATAACCTCATTTGGCTAGTAATAGTATTTTGTTTCTGTTATAATAAGAGTATATCAAGCTATATATATACTTTTGGTATCTAATTTAAGTAGTTTGTATCTAAGCTATTTATTTAGAGTTTTATACTATTTGCTATATTTACAACTCAATTACAATTTAAACTCTGATTATAATCTACTTTTATAATATAAAAACTCTAATATCTAAACTTATATTAAACCTTAGAACTCATTTATTCTGTAAAGCAAATCTGGCTAAATTAGTATTGGTAATTATATTATACAGTAGTTTAATATATATACTACAATTATCTAATACTTTTGTATAGTTTATATTGATTTTAATACCTACATTTAAACTTATACTCTTTTTTAAATTCTTTATTAGTTCTTTCCTTGCTTTTAGCTGAAACTCCAGAAAAGCTAATCTTGGCTTAGCTTTAGATGCTTTTTGGTTTATCTTCTCATGAAAAAACTTTTAGAGTATGTATATATTCTTTTTTTTTAGTATATCTTAAACTAATAGTCCTATTAATAGATCTTTACATAAAAATCTATTATTGCTCAATTCTTTAATCTTAGATCTGCTTCTAAATTTGACCTTCCTGTAGTGCTATCAAAGGTTTCTATTAATCTTTACTCAAGTTTTTCCAAATAAGTTTTAATTATTTAGTTTCTTAGTATTTATATATCAAAGCTTTTATTCAAGTTGGTATTACCATGGTTATAGATTTTAAATCCAACTAATTGTTAGATGATTATTACCAAATACAGGCTATTTTCAAAATCATTATTTCTGGAATCTTAACTATTTGGTAGGGTGACAACTAGACCACTTCACTAAACCACCACACTCTTTCTTATAATATAATTATAACTCACTATTCTGTATTTGATATTAACAAAATAAAAAATAAAAAATTTATAAACTTAAAAATAAAATTTAAATAGTTAGTTGTTAAAAAATCTTTGTTTATAAAATATTAAATGTAACAAAAATATATAGTATAAAGAGTTTTGAAGAAAAAATAAAAAAATTTATCCTAATTTTTTTCTAATATTTTAAGTTAATTAAAACTTATAGTAATGGTTTTTTAACAACTACAAAACCAAATTTAATAAATTTTTTTTTATTTTATATAATTTTACAAAATTTTATACTAAACTTAATCAGGTAATTATTAAGAAATTCATGTTAAAAAATTTAAAAACATTTAAATTTATTATTAGAATCCTCAATTTTGTTTAATAAAGTCTATATAGATAATAACTTAACTTACATGATTATCAACTAGCTTAAAAATATAGAGATATATACAATACTTATTTAGTTATATTTGATCAAACTTTTTATTTTGATTAAATTTAATCAGATAAGTGCTAAATAATTATTTAAATTTAGATAGCTTCAAAAAAAGTAAAAGAAAAGGCTGCAGAAAATTTTTTTTAATTTAGAAATAATGAATCAATGAAAAGGCAAAATCGGCAAAAACAATGAAATTCTATTAGTGACAAGACAAATAGTATTTACTTTAATCTCATTGTAAATCTATAAATTTATTGAATTTTTACTATTTTAGAAAATCAAACTATTTTGTCATTGCCACTTTCCTGTCAGCTTTCCAATAATAATTGCAAAAATTTCATGATGCAGTTTCTGAACTTAAATTTAATTTCTGATTTGTTTGTAAAGAAAGTTCCCCTACTATTGTATTAGTACAAACAACAAGATTATGTGCTAGATGCAATAAAGATAAGTTGATACCAAGAAAATTTTCAGCTAAAAATGATGTGGAACCTGTTAAGTAAAATATGCAATATATATGATAATAATAGGTTACAAATTAAAATATATTATTATTTTTTTAGAAGAAATTCCTATCGAAGGAAATGCCTATTGCCTAAATACTTCCCATATAAGCTTTGGTAGGACAACTTGGATATCGAGGAAACATAATCAATTTTTCTCAAGATATTCAGAATTTATTACTAAGTTATCTCGAAATCCTTCTACGATTAATATTGAATAAACTACAATACTAACATTACGTTTTTTTAAAAAAATTTAGAACCTAATACGTAGGCTCCAGCCCTATAAAACGCCGCCGTTTTATTACTAGTAATAAAAGACTTTTATCAATTATTTACTTTTATTTAAAATGGTATGACAATAGCTAAAATTACGTCATAATTATTGTGCACTATTTCGATCGCTTTGAAATCGCATCTAAGTTGACATTTGAGAACACTATTAGTACATACGTACAAGGTTGATTGTTAAGTGTTGTTAGGGAGGTTATATAAGGGTTAATCACTAACGTACAAATCTTAATGCACCTTGTTAAATCAAAAAAAATTTTGATTCACAATTATACAAATTCACGTACTACCAATCCGTTTACTTTTATGCTACTTTCATGCTCAATGATTTTCCACATTTATACTTTTAACTTGCAAAAGCTTATAAATGATACGTATGCAACAAACCATAAATTCACTTTAACGGAGATCTTCTAAGTAGCTCAATGAAAATTGTAATCTTTCTGCAATGTTTAATTCTATTGTATTCATTTCAATAGTGATAACATTGAAAGTAATTGCACAATTATAAAATAATGATCAAACAAACATCATATCAATATTATGAATCAATTTTTCTAATTCTTTTTCTGCAGCAATTTTATAATATTCATAAGCTTTTTCTTCATCAACTTTATATCCTCTTCCAAAATTACAGCAATCACCTGCTTCTAAATAAGCATTAATATAACCATTATTGGCCGATTTTTGATATATTTCGAGCGCTTTTTTCTCATTTATTTCAGTTCCTATTCCTTCACGATAACAACGTGCAAGTTGGTATTGTCCTTTAGGAAATTCTTCTTCAGCTGATTTCTTATAATATTCGAATGCTTTTAACTTATCAATTTTGGTTACTGTACCAGTTTCATAAAGAAATCCAAGTGCATAATATGCTCTACTATATCCTCCACAAGCAGATAATTGAAATAATTCAAATGCTTTTTTTTCATCCTTTTCAACACCTTCTCCGAGTAAATATGAATATCCAGTATGATACTTTCTATAGGAAATCCTCCTTCTGCGGCTTTTTGAAAACATTCTAATGCTTTTTTATAATTTATTTCAGTTGCTGCACCGAATGTATAACAAATACCAAGGGAATTATATGATAAAGTATATCCACCTTTAGCTGATTTCTCAAAATATTCAAAAGCCTTTTTTAAATCTCTTTTTCCATAAAAAAAACACTCAGGAGAATGTATTGAACTGTATGATTATTATTACAATTATTTAAACACCAATCAATTATATTCTTTGGTTTTTATTGTTTCGTTAGAATAAATTTACTCATCATATCATAAATTGTTTTAGGTCGAGTTCCTTTCATGGCTTCTTCATCTAATAATTTACAAATTACTTCAACTATATTTTCGAAAACTATCTGTGACATGTCTGTATTAATTGAAATTAATGGTTACAGAATTATAAAGACTTATATATAAATATATATATAAATATATGAATAGTAAATATTTAAATTTGATTTTTTTAAGGTAATATGAATAATTAAATACGTATTAAAGTGTTAATGAACTTTTATTTGGTTGTTAAATTTGTAATAGGATTCTCATTATCGTTATCTTATGGTAAACATACTCCTAAATTGAGATAATATTCGGATAATTCCGCTATTATTGTACCGTGACTTCTATCATGAAATGTTATTAAATTTATTCGCTAACCATATATTTATATAGATAAAAATAATTATATTGTTATCGATGATATGATACTATGATCAGGCTGCTATTACAATTCATGATTCTTAAACTAAGTTAATCAAAACTCGCATAAACTATTTATCTGGATTTCTTCTCTTGCGTTACTAATGTTTTCATTGCCGAGAGGATGATCAAACAAAATATTTACTGCTTGGAACACGTTGCACAAATATCACCAATGTCTTATATCCAATGTCGATATAATGTATGCCTCAAATATCTTTATCCTATTAAGGATACTTATAACCCTTCTCCCTATTTCACTAGTAGTGTAACACTTATGGATCATGAGGCCGTGACCCTTACGAAACTTGTGACATGTTATTTTACAGTGGTGGTGTAATCTGTCAGGGTAGCATTGGTTATATATTTCTATCTACTTGTAAAGATCTTGAAATACGTGCAAAGATACTAAATACTCTAAAATGGATTTTGGATCAAAGTTGTGTTACGCTATCTTCGTGTGTATAATTGTGAATATTTCATAAAAGTTTAAACCCACCGGTCTAGAATGTATCTACGAAAAGCTGAAAATAAATGATTTAACTGATGCTAGTATATTATTTGAGCTTACCTAATTACTTAAAAATCCAGTCGTTTCCAAAGACACCGCGGTCGCATGTAAGTTACCATTGATTTCCTAAAACGGATAATTACAACGACATCCTGTTGTTATCTATTTATGTGAAAGTATGTTTGATTGCGATGAAACTTTCTATGAAAAGCATGTAATAATGACTTTAAACAATTTTATAGACCTTGATAAATTAAAATTGTTAATTGAAAAAAACAAATGTACTTGAATGAAAACGAGAGGAAACGATGAACTTTTTAATGACATCAATGAAGTTTTTTCTTATTATGTACAAACTTTATACTGTAAAATGTTCAAATTAAAATTACATTATTGTTCTTTGAGTCTGATAATTGAGCTATCGGTCAATTAACATAAAAAGGTATTAATCAATTCGTTAGAATTCTTATGAAACTTTATTAATTAGTGCTCAGATCGGGTTAGATTTTGTTCTAATTATAGCCAACCTGAACCTCCGGCATCACTCAAAAAATCAATTATGTAGCTGGATATTTAAAATTAAATATATATCCTTTAATGGTTATATAGCTATATTTAAAGTAATAATTTTGGAATTTTGATCCAAAATATCAATTAAAGGAAATATTCATTATTTTAATACAAATTGGTCCATAATTATCTTTAGAGAAACCTTTAAATTAATATAGAAGTAGAATTAACTAGTAACTAAAAGAATACTATCTACACCCGCAACAGTATCAGGATTAGAGATGGGCAAAGTCAGTTACTTATTATTACTTAATATTACTTAATATTACCTCGCAATAAGTATTATTAAGTAATTTTATTATTAGTAACAACTTTTCGTTCAATTTCAATTTTGATCACCCGTCTCCGACTTTTATCATGTGTTTTGTATGTACACGTAATATATAATTGAATGTAATAATTATTTAATATTACTTAATATTAAGTAAGGGATAAGTAATAAGTCATTATTACTTACAAA